TTATAATGATCTTGAAGTCCAAAAGTCTTACTATAAAATGTTCGTCTACAGAATATAACAGAAGCAAGCACTCATTAGATTATTTCTTTTCCAAACCAATTTCATTATAAATTGCATATCAAAACCAAATGCACTTATTTAAAGTCACTTATATAGCACTTACTCTTCTTTCATCGACTGACTTTGCTGCAAGAATCATTCCTTCCAAACATTTCGAAATGATGGGAATAACCTTGCGTTCTGAGTCTGCAAATCCTCTGTAACACTCACTGAGTTTAATAGTCCTTCGTTCATCCATTTCTTGTAGTTGCTAATATCAGGAATTTTTAAAAAATGAAAACAGTGTTCTTATTCTAAAAGATAACATTAGTGACCCTCTGCCCAAATAACTAAAGATTTGTACCCTAATAATCATAGTGCTGTTAACAGTATCTTTTTTTTTGGTACCAGGGATCGAATTCAAGACCTTGTGCTTGAGGCAGGCGCCGTGCCACTGAGCTAAATCCCCAGCCCTTCAGTATCTTTCAACAAGTGCTTTATGGACATATGATACTTAAAATCTGAAGCCTGCTAAATCATGAAAGAAAAAGAAAAGAAAAATAAGGTTTTTCATACATCTAAAAATCAGGTGACAGTCGCTTTCAAGTCTTCTATTAGAACTCCTTCCAGGCTACCAACTCGCTGTCTCATACCTCTCCCACCTTTTTGTCTCTGAAGTAGTTATTATTTATGCTTCCAGAAAAAGTTTGATTTGAAGACAACATTCTGGCACTAATTTTTTTAAATTAGTCTATAATGTATACAATTGAGACCTCTAATCCCTTACAATATTTTAGAATATTTTGGTAATAGCTGGCTCAATCAAATGTCCACAGTTGATTACATATAAACAGGTACTCTCACATCCTACCACCTACAGCTCAGAGTGACTATTAAAAAACTGAGGACACAAGAAGAAAAAGAAGCAGTCATATACTCAAAGTAGCACATACATAGAATCTCCATAAATCAAAATTCACTGACAAGGGCCGGGGATTTAGCTCAGTGGTTTCGCCGCCTGCTGCACAAGCACAAGGACCCAAGTTCGATCCCCAGTACCAAAAAAAAAA